TTTCAACTCTTGGTCTAAAGGAAGGAATGGCTCACATGCCCTCGCTGCAGGGGCACTCAAGCTGGTCTGATCTAGTGCCTCCCGTAGAGTTTCCCAGCAAGTATGGAGAAACAGGACTCCAGACTTTTTGCCCTTTGACCCCTAATGTAAATTAGGTGGGCGGGTTTGCTGCTGTTGGGTTGGGCCACATGATACTGTGTTTGATGACCTGTGGTCTGTTAGCTTCCTCGAGTTTGAGCACCCATCATCTTACTTGGGGTATTTGCACTGGGGCCCTTAATTGCCACCCGAAGGTCTATGAGGATGACGACCCCTATTTCCAAGCGTGTCTGCTAGTGCCGCAGACATGGCTGAGACACGGTTCCTTGTTCTGTTTTTGTCTTTTTCATTTTAGAGATGGGTCTTACAATGTTGCCCAGGCTGGCCTTGAACTTGTGACCCTGACCCCCCAGCCTCAGCCTCCCATAGCTAAGATTACAGGCCAGTCCCTGTTCTCCGTAGTACTCGTAAGGGCAGAAGCACGTTCATACAGGCTGCACAACCGTGACAGCTGTGCCAACGAGGCTCTTTGCAAAGCCGGCGAGTCCAGCACGGCCACGCAGGGTCGCTTCCTGCCCCTCGGACTCTTCTCAGAGCCGCTCACCAGTGCTGTGGAAGCCCCTCCGCCTGGGCCTCCCGTGCATCTGTCTGATTCCCACACGACCCAAAGGCTGGATCACCTGACAGAAAGCCCGTGACAGTGCTCCTGAGTCAGGCACGAAGGGCCAAGGCAGGTCTGGTCCGGCCTGGCCATCATGGGCTGCAGCAGAACTCACACCTCGTCCACCAAGCTGAAGACGATCACGCCTTCCTCTTAGGGGGTACGAAGCAGACCACGGGACTGAGCAGGCTGCTGCGTCTCCCTCCACGTCTCTGCTGTCACTCCTGGCCTCTGACTCGGGACAGCAGTAAAGCAGCACCACTGTCTCACGTTGTCGCAGTCCCTGTGCGGCCATTCACGGGCCGCGGTTTGGCTTCTCGTGCGACCATTTGACAGCTGTTCGTATCTTGGACAAGTCGTTCCAACTCCCAGGAAGTCCATTTTTCTCACCGAGCCAGCAAGTGTCGCAGTGCGTGTTTCCCGGGGTCTTACAAACGTCAGCGTGTGTGGAGGGCTCGAGTGTGCTTGGCACCCGAGTGCTGACATGGAGTGTGCTTTCGGCTTCCATCACTGACCACAGGACGTGCGTCTCTGGGTGGCACTGTGTAGCCAGGCATACTGCACGCACAGATGTCAGGACCTTGGGTTCAAATCCAGACTCCACTGGAATATGTATTCTAGCTGGGTAAATCTCTCTAGGCCTTAGCTTTAAACATTTTTTTTGTTTGTTTTTAAGAATTACTTATTTTGGGGGAGCAGCAGTTGGCGTAATGGCTATGTCACTGGACTCCCATGTAGCCGGCTGCAGTTCGAGTCCCAGACCCGGTGGCTTAAACTCATGCTGGGCCCAAGATCCCGAGAGGAGAATGGAGGAGAAGGGATTGTGGCGTGGCCATCCCCCCTGGGGGTGATTTCTCGCTTTCTGTCTCTCTCTTTCTCTCTTGTCTTTCTGGCAGGCACTCAAACCCTATAGCAAAACCTCTCCAAAAGAAAAAAAAAAGAGTTATTTAACTTCATTCATCATTATTTTTATTATATATATATATATACTTAAAATTTGACCAGAGATAGAGAGGGAAAATGAGAAAGCAAGTCACAAGGTCCAGAACCACTATTGGCCATGTGAGAATCCAATGCCTTAACCACCATGCCATCTGCCAGCCCCCATTTAAAAAATTTTTTTACGGTTTTTGGTACAGCGCATGTGTGTACATATGAGAGGACAGAGACAGAAAGTGGGAAATCACCCCCGGAGGTATGTCATAACACAATCCCCTCCACTCTCCTTTCGGGATTTTGGGCACACACAGCCATGTTCCACGTGAGTTTCAAGCCACTGAGTCCAGCACTTGAACTGTGTTCAGCCACGTGGGGATCCCGCTGCCTTAACTACCATGCCACCTGCTGACCCCAGAAGGAACATCTTTGGGGAGGCAATAGATACCCATACAAATGTTCTTGAGGGCATTTATCTGAAGAAATACCTCCGGTGCCCACAAAG